TTCGGAGTGCATGAACCATGTCCCTTTCTCTTTTAAGTCGACCACAGAGCTTCTAATCCCCGCGGAAAATTGGATTGCTTCAGGTGATATGGACTGTCGCATCGCGAGCCCTTTGCGGGAGACCCTGATGAAATACCGTAGCAGGAGCGTAAAACAAGCCTCTCACACAAATATGAATAGAAGAAAAAGCTTCCAGAAGGATCCACTGCGAGATCCTTCCGCGGGGTCGCGGGCTTTTACAGTAATCGATAGGAGGTAGGTTGCAAAGGGTCAGCGGCGAGCTCGGCCTCTAGTGGCCTTTTGAGGAGCTTGATCTACGTGATCAACCCTCAGCAGTCCCTTAGCAAGTTGGCCCGGGGCTCCCTTATTAATTCCGCATTCCTACCAGCTCGCTGTGACAGTTGGACCATCCAGGTCGACGTTCTAAAGGTTAGCCTTCATGGTTCTACGACATCGCCTTAGTAGCCTACGATGCTGTTGAATGACTTGCTGTAGATTGAATAGTGTTTGGAAGGTAGTTTCTCAAACGTCTTTTGTTCTTCCAGGTTCCGAAGAAGGCGATCTCGCCGAAACGTCAGCCGAATGAACCGTTACAATCTTGGTCACGAGCTGGTGTAACACTGCAAAGAAATGCAGAGATTCATTGAGAGTCAAAGGTGCACGCTTCTGGAAGTGTTACACGCTCCGCCCTCCTTAACAAGGTTGAATAAAAAAAAACTCTTTCGGAGGTAGGGCTTTAATAATCTTCCGGTCCAGGACAAGCGAGCAATCGACGAAAAATCCCAGACACGCCATATGACGACTGCCATGCAAAACTCATCTCAGCGTACTACCGCTTGGAAAATTCGGCATACATACCAAAAATGGCCAGCTGAAGATTCCAGCTGGAGCGACTCAGAAAGGATTTTTGGTGAGTTCTCACATTTCCACGACGGCAGCTTTGTTTTGAATAATATTATAAATTGTGCAAATCTGATAAGTTTGAGATCAAGATGAATTCGCTATTCCATGTAAAACCCGTAGGCATTTATAGTAGGCTCAATCAGAAAGTATATGCTAACGAAGTTAATGTGATATTTCCAACTTTTCTCTTCACAGAGGCCCGGCACTGCTTGTGAGGTTCATTCCAATGTGTTTGTTCTACCGTAGATGATTTAAATGCAAATCTATACACGGCTAGATGTTTTGACAAGATTGTATTCCTCAAAATCACTCCAACTGTGTGTAATATTACGTCGGCCCATAGTTTTGCCAAGCGTGGCTGCTCACTACCAAAGGACCCCGAGAGTCCTACACATCTCTGGAAAGTTCTGGACCAAATCTGAGGAAAAACCACAGGTTTGGATCAATAATTGCGTCGCTTAGTTCATCACCGCGCTTCCGTAGCGCAGTCGGCAGCGCGTCAGTCTCATAATCTGAAGGTCGTGAGTTCGAGCCTCACCGGGAGCAACTGTTTTGCCAAGCGTGACTGCTCTACTACCAAGGGACCCCGAGAGTCCTACACATCATCTCTGGAATGCTCTGGACCAAATCTGAGGAAAAACCACAGGTTTGGATCAATAATTGCGTCGCTTAGTTCATCACCGCGCTTCCGTAGCGCAGTCGGCAGCGCGTCAGTCTCATAATCTGAAGGTCGTGAGTTCGAGCCTCACCGGGAGCAACTGTTTTGCCAAGCGTGGCTGCTCACGATTGAGGTACCCTCGACAGTTCTACACATCTCTGGAATGCTCTGGACCAAAAATATCTGAGGAAAAATCACAGGTTATCAAATAATTGGCTCGGTCGCTAGTTTCAATAACCGCCGCTTCCGTAGCGCAGTCGGCAGCGCGTCAGTCTCATAATCTGAAGGTCGTGAGTTCGAGCCTCACCGGGAGCAACTGTTTTGCCAAGCGTGGACTGCTCACTACCAAGGGACCTCGACAGTCCTACACATCTCTGGAATGCTCTGGACCAAATCTGAGGAAAAACCACAGGTTTGGATCAATAATTGCGTCGCTTAGTTCATCAACCGCGCTTCCGTAGCGCAGTCGGCAGCGCGTCAGTCTCATAATCTGAAGGTCGTGAGTTCGAGCCTCACCGGGAGCAACTGTTTTGCCAAGCGTGGCTGCTCACGATTGAGGGACCTCGACAGTTCCTACACATCTCTGGAATGCTCTGGACCAAATCTGAGGAAAAACCACAGGTTTGGATCAATAATTGCGTCGCTTAGTTCATCACCGCGCTTCCGTAGCGCAGTCGGCAGCGCGTCAGTCTCATAATCTGAAGGTCGTGAGTTCGAGCCTCACCGGGAGCAACTGTTTTGCCAAGCGTGTGACTGCTCACTACCAAGGGACCCCGAGAGTCCTACACATCTCTGGAATGCTCTGGATCAAATCTGAGGAAAAACCACAGGTTTGATCATAATTGCGTTCGCTTATTTTCATTTCCTACTCTGGTTTGATGTTTACCAGTTTGTTCTTGCGCTCCGTAGCGGCAGTCGGCAATGCGCGTCAGTCTCATAACTGAAGGTCTGTTGAGTTCGAGCCATAATTTTCAACCCGGGAGCAATTTTGGTTTTTGCCAAGCGTGAGCTTGCTCACTTACGTCAGGGACCCGTGCGGACCCCGAGAGTCCTACACATCTCTGGAAATGCTCTGGACCAAATCTGAGGAAAAACCACAGGTTTGGATCAATAATTGCGTCGCTTAGTTCATCACCGCGCTTCCGTAGCGCAGTCGGCAGCGCGTCAGTCTCATAATCTGAAGGTCGTGAGTTCGAGCCTCACCGGGAGCAACTGTTTTGCCAAGCGTGCTGCTCACTACCATGGACCAAATCTGAGGAAAAACCACAGGTTTGGATCAATAATTGCGTCGCTTAGTTCATCACCGCTTCCGTAGCGCAGTCGGCAGCGCGTCAGTCTCATAATCTGAAGGTCGTGAGTTCGAGCCTCACCGGGAGCAACTGTTTTGCCAAGCGTGGCTGCTCACGATTGAGGTACCTCGACAGTTCTACACATCTCTGGAATGCTCTGGACCAAATCTGAGGAAAAAAAACCACAGGTTTGGATCAATAATTGCGTCGCTTAGTTCATCACCGCGCTTCCGTAGCGCAGTCGGCAGCGCGTCAGTCTCATAATCTGAAGGTCGTGAGTTCGAGCCTCACCGGGAGCAACTGTTTTGCCAAGCGTGGACTGCTCACCTCTGGACCAAATCTGAGGAAAAACCACAGGTTTGGATCAATAATTGCGTCGCTTAGTTCATCACCGCGCTTCCGTAGCGCAGTCGGCAGCGCGTCAGTCTCATAATCTGAAGGTCGTGAGTTCGAGCCTCACCGGGAGCAACTGTTTTGCCAAGCGTGGCTGCTCACGATTGAGGTACCTCGACAGTTCTACACATCTCTGGAATGCTCTGGACCAAATCTGAGGAAAAACCATAGGTTTGGATCAATAATTGCGTCGCTTAGTTCATCACCGCGCTTCCGTAGCCGTCAGTCGGCAGCGCGTCAGTCTCATAATCTGAAGAAGAGTCGTGAAGTTCTTCGAGCCTCACCGGGAGCAATTGTTTGCCAAGCGTGACTGCTCACTACGAAGGGACCCCGCGAGTCCTACACATCTCTGAAATGCTCTGGACCAAATCTGAGGAAAAACCACAGGTTTGGATCAATAATTGCGTCGCTTAGTTCATCACCGCGCTTCCGTAGCGCAGTCGGCAGCGCGTCAGTCTCATAATCTGAAGGTCGTGAGTTCGAGCCTCACCGGGAGCAACTGTTTTGCCAAGCGTGGCTGCTCACTCTGGACCAAATCTGAGGAAAAACCACAGGTTTGGATCAATAATTGCGTCGCTTAGTTCATCACCGCGCTTCCGTAGCGCAGTCGGCAGCGCGTCAGTCTCATAATCTGAAGGTCGTGAGTTCGAGCCTCACCGGGAGCAACTGTTTTGCCAAGCGTGGCTGCTTCGACCTGCCCGGTCCTCCATCTCTGAAATGCTCTGGACCAAATCTGAGGAAAAACCACAGGTTTGGATCAATAATTGCGTCGTTTAGTTCATCACCGCGCTTCCGTAGCGCAGTCGGCAGCGCGTCAGTCTCATAATCTGAAGGTCGTGAGTTCGAGCCAATTCACTGGACATTGTTGCGCAAGCGTTGACTGAGCCCTCTGGATTCTGAGGAAAAACCAGGTTTGGAATTTATTTGTTTTATAACCGCTTTCCGTAGCGTCAGTCGGGACGTCATTCATAATCTGAAGGTCGTGAGTTCGAGCCTCACCGGGAGCAACTGTTTTGCCAAGCGTGACTGATCATATTGAGGTACCTCGACAGTTCTACACATCTCTGGAATGCTCTGGACCAAATCTGAGGAAAAACCACAGGTTTGGATCAATAATTGCGTCGCTTAGTTCATCACCGCGCTTCCGTAGCGCAGTCGGCAGCGCGTCAGTCTCATAATCTGAAGGTCGTGAGTTCGAGCCTCACCGGGAGCAACTGTTTTGCCAAGCGTGGAACCTGAGAGGGTCATTCTCTGGAGTCTATGGACCAAATCTGAGGAAAAACCACAGGTTTGGATCAATAATTGCGTCGCTTAGTTCATCACCGCGCTTCCGTAGCGCAGTCGGCAGCGCGTCAGTCTCATAATCTGAAGGTCGTGAGTTCGAGCCTCACCGGGAGCAACTGTTTTGCCAAGCGTGGCTGCTCACGATTGAGGTAATCCGTTTATTCCTGAAGTTCTACATCATTCTGAATAGTTGACAGAGACTGAGGAAACCACCGCAGGTTTGGATCAATAATTGCGTCGCTTAGTTCATCGCCGCGCTTCCGTAGCGCAGTCGGCAGCGCGTCAGTCTCATAATCTGAAGGTCGTGAGTTCGAGCCTCACCGGGAGCAATTGTTCTTGCCAAGCGTGACTGCTCACTACGAAGGGACCCCGCGAGTCCTACACATCTCTGGAATGCTCTGGACCAAATCTGAGGAAAAACCACAGTTTGGATCAATAATTGCGTCGCTTAGTTCATGTCACCTAATTTATGCGCTTCCGTAGCGCAAGTCCGGACAGCGCGTCAGTCTCATAATCTGAAGGTCGTGAGAGTTCGAGCCTCACCGGGAGCAAATTGTTTTGCCAAGCGTGACTGCTCACTACCAAGGGACCCCGAGAGTCCTACACATCTCTGGAATGCTCTGGACCAAATCTGAGGAAAAACCACAGGTTTGGATCAATAATTGCGTCGCTTAGTTCATCACCGCGCTTCCGTAGCGCAGTCGGCAGCGCGTCAGTCTCATAATCTGAAGGTCGTGAGTTCGAGCCTCACCGGGAGCAACTGTTTTGCCAAGCGTGGCTGCTCACTACCTCTGGACCAAATCTGAGGAAAAACCACAGGTTTGGATCAATAATTGCGTCGCTTAGTTCATCACCGCGCTTCCGTAGCGCAGTCGGCAGCGCGTCAGTCTCATAATCTGAAGGTCGTGAGTTCGAGCCTCACCGGGAGCAACTGTTTTGCCAAGCGTGGCTGCTCACTACCAAGGGACCCCGACAGTCCTACACATCTCTGGAATGCTCTGGACCAAATCTGAGGAAAAACCACAGGTTTGGATCAATAATTGCGTCGCTTAGTTCATCACCGCGCTTCCGTAGCGCAGTCGGCAGCGCGTCAGTCTCATAATCTGAAGGTCGTGAGTTCGAGCCTCACCGGGAGCAACTGTTTTGCCAAGCGTGGCTGCTCACTACTCATGGACCAAATCTGAGGAAAAACCACAGGTTTGGATCAATAATTGCGTCGCTTAGTTCATCACCGCGCTTCCGTAGCGCAGTCGGCAGCGCGTCAGTCTCATAATCTGAAGGTCGTGAGTTCGAGCCTCACCGGGAGCAACTGTTTTGCCAAGCGTGGCTGCTCACGATTGAGGTACCCAGTTATGTTCGAACAGTTCGACAGTTACACACATCCCTTTGGAAATGCTCTGGACCAAATCTGAGGAAAAACCACAGGTTTGGATCAATAATTGCGTCGCTTAGTTCATCACCGCGCTTCCGTAGCGCAGTCGGCAGCGCGTCAGTCTCATAATCTGAAGGTCGTGAGTTCGAGCCTCACCGGGAGCAACTGTTTTGCCAAGCGTGGCTGCTCACTACCAAGGGACCCCCGAGAGTCCTACACATCTCTGGAATGCTCTGGACCAAATCTGAGGAAAAACCACAGGTTTGGATCAATAATTGCGTCGCTTAGTTCATCACCGCGCTTCCGTAGCGCAGTCGGCAGCGCGTCAGTCTCATAATCTGAAGGTCGTGAGTTCGAGCCTCACCGGGAGCAACTGTTTTGCCAAGCGTGACTGCTCACCTCTGGACCAAATCTGAGGAAAAAACCACAGGTTTGGATCAATAATTGCGTCGCTTAGGTTTCGTCACCGCGCTTCCCGTAGCGGCATCGGACGTCAAAAAGCGCGCAGTCTTCATTTAATCTGAAGGTCCCGTCGAGTTTCGAGGCCCATCGACCGGGGAGGCAACTGTTTTGCGTTTTAGGTAGGGGTGGGGGCGGACGTGGCTGCTCCAACTACGTATAAGAGGACCACCGCATCCCTACACATCTCTGAAATGCTCTGGACCAAATCTGAGGAGAAACCACAGGTTTGGATCAATAATTGCGTCGCTTAGTTCATCACCGCGCTTCCGTAGCGCAGTCGGCAGCGCGTCAGTCTCATAATCTGAAGGTCGTGAGTTCGAGCCTCACCGGGAGCAACTGTTTTGCCAAGCGTGGCTGCTCACCATGGGCCAAATCTGAGGAAAAACCACAGGTTTGGATCAATAATTGCGTCGCTTAGTTCATCACCGCGCTTCCGTAGCGCAGTCGGCAGCGCGTCAGTCTCATAATCTGAAGGTCGTGAGTTCGAGCCTCACCGGGAGCAACTGTTTTGCCAAGCGTGGCTGCTCACGATTGAGGTACCTCGACAGTTCTACACATCTCTGGAATGCTCTGGACCAAATCTGAGGAAAAACCACAGGTTTGGATCAATAATTGCGTCGCTTAGTTCATCACCGCGCTTCCGTAGCGCAGTCGGCAGCGCGTCAGTCTCATAATCTGAAGGTCGTGAGTTCGAGCCTCACCGGGAGCAACTGTTTTGCCAAGCGTGGCTGCTCACCTCTGGACCAAATCTGAGGAAAAACCACAGGTTTGGATCAATAATTGCGTCGCTTAGTTCATCACCGCGCTTCCGTAGCGCAGTCGGCAGCGCGTCAGTCTCATAATCTGAAGGTCGTGAGTTCGAGCCTCACCGGGAGCAACTGTTTTGCCAAGCGTGGCTGCTCACGATTGAGGTACCTCGACAGTTCTACACATCTCTGGAATGCTCTGGACCAAATCTGAGGAAAAACCACAGGTTTGGATCAATAATTGCGTCGCTTAGTTCATCACCGCGCTTCCGTAGCGCAGTCGGCAGCGCGTCAGTCTCATAATCTGAAGGTCGTGAGTTCGAGCCTCACCGGGAGCAACTGTTTTGCCAAGCGTGGCTGCTCACTACCAAGGGACCCCGACAGTTCCTACACATCTCTGGAATGCTCTGGACCAAATCTGAGGAAAAACCACAGGTTTGGATCAATAATTGCGTCGCTTAGTTCATCACCGCGCTTCCGTAGCGCAGTCGGCAGCGCGTCAGTCTCATAATCTGAAGGTCGTGAGTTCGAGCCTCACCGGGAGCAACTGTTTTGCCAAGCGTGGCTGCTCACTACCAAGGGACCCCGAGAGTTCCTACACATCTCTGGAATGCTCTGGACCAAATCTGAGGAAAAACCACAGGTTTGGATCAATAATTGCGTCGCTTAGTTCATCACCTT